TCTTTCTTTCTTTCTTTCTTTCTTTCTTTCTTTCTTTCTTTCTTTCTCTTTCTCTCTCTCTTTCTCTCTCTCTCTCTTTCTTTTTTTAGTTAGAGTTTCTCTGTGCAGCCCCTGGCTGTTCCTGAACTCACTCTGCAGACCAGGCTAGCCTCAAACTTAGAGATCTCCCTGTCCCTGCTCCTGCCTCTGCTTCCAGAGTGCTGAGATTAAAGGCGTGTGCCACCACCACTCTCAATTATGTTTTTATAAGGTTGTATGTTTTATCTTTTTTCCAGGGAATATCTAGAAATAGAATTGGTAAGTAAATGTTTGTATTTGTTAAAAAAAACAAGCAAACAAAACCAACCAAACAAAAAAACAAATCTTAAGTTTTCCCAAGAGAATACAGCACTTTATATTCTGTGAACACAGGAACACTACAATTGGTTTCTCTGGGACTGGATGTTTACCTATGAATAGGGGCCATGTCTCCCTCTAGTGGCTACTGACAATATCCTTTCCTCACAGGCAGGTCTTCCCAAATTGGGCTGGGATGTCTTCTGGTTGGGTTACAAGTATTTTCTATAAACTCTGTATCCAAGTCTAAACACACGTTTTATAAGTTTTTCTTCTAGTTCATAGCTTGCTTTTTCAAATGTCCTTTGAAGAGAACTTGTCATGGCTACTTTGGATAATTTACATTTTTTTTCTGTATTTTTTTTCCTTATGTTTGAGTGTGCTTAAAAAAAATCCTTTCCATATAGTAAAGTCACCAAGATTTTCTTACATGTTTTCTCCAAGAAATTTTATTCTTTTTAGTTTTATCATTTGGTTCTATATTGATTTCAGGTTAATATTTTATAAGATGGAGGGTAAAAAAGAAGTTCTTTTTGCACATATAGAAGTCAAATGATTCATAATTTGTGTATAGTACACTGGTTTCTTCTCGAAACTCAGTCTTAAAGGCGCAAAAACTATTCTTTGTCTATTGTACATAAAAGTGGGTTACACACATCAATATGCTCTATACATTTTTCTAGATACCAACAGACATGATGACGAGAAGGTCTTGAGGTCATACACTATAGCACTTCCTCAAAGCTGTTATGGCTACTTTAGGGCTTTTGTTGTTGTTGCATTTTTTGAGACAATGTCTCACTATGAAGCCCTGACTGGTTTAGAACTTGTTATATTTAGACCAGGTTGACCATGCACTACAGAGATCCACCAGCCTCTGTCTCCTAAGTGCTGAGACTAATCACGCCTGTGCTGTGGGAACTCCTTCAGCCAATAGCCTTTAAGACATTCGCCCACTTTGGGCGCGGTCTCATGTACAATAAATACAGACGAAAAGCATGCATGGGTCTCTTGACTGCTGGATTTGGTTCCAGTTCCCAGCACATGCAAAGGACTGCGGATGGCTGCTCTTTCTGTGAGTTTATCCCCAGATAAATAAACCTTTGTTATACTCCACTTTGGGCTACTGTGGAACTCTTTTGAATGCCAACTCACCTGGTTACTTTCAATTCTTTATATTTCCATGAAAATACCTCCTAAAAAATAAAACTGCTAATGACACTGAGTGAGAACACACTGACTCCAGGGAGATAAACTCCTAACAAGCTGATTTGTGAACATGGCACACTGTTCCATCTACTCATGTGCTGTTCTTTAGTTCCTTTCCACATGTTTTCTACTTCCCACAATATAGATTCTGCATATATTTTTCCAAATACATTTTTGATATTTTATGCTATTATTATTGTTTTCTGGTAAGCACATCAGGGCAAACACTTGCATTTCTAACACTTAGGGGGCTGGCTACACAGGAGATTTTGAGTTCCTGAGTTATATAGGGATCCTATCCAAAACAAAACAAAACAAAAACCAAATAAATACAGTTTTCCATCATTTTGAGTGAGGTGACCCAGACCCAGAAAAACAATTATCACATGTATAAGTGCTTTTTAAACATAAAACAAAGAAAATCAGCCCATAAATCACAATTCCAGAGAACCTAGACAACAATGAGGACACTAAGAGAGACATACATAGATCTAATCTATATGGGAAGTAGAAAAAGACAAGACCTCCTGAGTAAATTGGGAGCATGGGGGCCTTGGGAGACAGTTGAAGGGGAGGGAAGAAGCAGGGAGGAGAGCAGAGAAAAATGTAGAGCTCAACAAAAATCAATTAAAAATAAATAAATAAATAAATACAGTTTTCTCGATTGTGATATCCATTTTGTTTCTGCTGTTGACAAATAAAAGTTCAATGGATTCCTACATATTAATTTTGAATTTTTGCATTTAATGAGATACCCATTTATACTCATTAAATTGATAATGAAAAGGACAATCACAAACATTAGCAAGGACTTTGAGAAACTGTAACCCTGACATACTACTAATGCTTTGAAAATTAGTAATACTAATTTACTAATGGTAAATGTTTTAGAGACTGTATGGCAGTTTATAATAAAACTAAACATAAATTTGCCAGATGACTCTCAGTACTATAATATTGTAAGTCTAGCCAGGAACCTTGAAAGCAAATGTCTACGCGAAGAATCGTGTCCAAGTGTGTACAACAGCATTACTCCAAAAGGCTAATGAAATGTGACCATCCTTACAACTGAAGAGTGGCAGTCAGTATAAAAGGGTATATACCGTTGGAATATTCTAAATAATGGACAGACTTCAAAGACTAATGTGCTAAACAAGAAGTAAGACACAAAAGTCTATGAGCCATGTGGCTTCATTTATATGAGATGTCCACAAAGTAAACTAACAGACACAAAAAGCCTGTGGATGTTTCTGGAGTGATGTTCCAAAACTGGACTGTGATCTCCTACATTCATACATTTCTGACTGTCACTGAATTACACACTCAAGATGAATGGACTTTATGGTATCTAAATTATATCTCAATGAAGCCATTAAAATCGAACTCTTAATGAGCAGTGAATTTGTAGACTTCCCACTATAAAATTTATATAAACATATAAGTAGACATAAGTGTATAATATATAGTACATTATGAACACATTTGAGTCTGATGGGAGAAAGGTATAAGGAAGAGGGAGAAAGGGAGAAGGACACAGGACATTTTTTATGTTTCAATTAAAAATAAACACATAAAAAATATTAACATTTGTCCATTTTGGGTGGTAGGTATGAGAGATTTCATTATTTTTTGTACTCTTCAATATTTTTCAATAAAAAATTAAATTAAGCTAAAAACCAAAAAGCAAACAGAAATGATTACCTAGTTCCTTCATTAATTTTAATTCCTTAATGGCTTTAATTCGAATATCAAACACCACCTAAAATAGAGAAATAAATGTGCATAGATTGAATGGATGGAGATGAAAATGATGAAAATGAAGATTATCAGTGTGTATACACAGAGATCACTTGCAATATTATCTGACATTTGTTTTGTCTATAATTTTTTAGTCAACCCTGACATTGTTCTGTAAGATTGAAAGCAAAAGCTCAGAATAGATCCTAACTGTTAGATTTTCATCAAACTGATGTTAACAAAAGGATACCGTGGGAAATGAAAGAAACAGGTCTCACCAGAAAGCAATAAACAGACAACCACTTACCTGTAAAAGTCAAGGGATAAAAATAGTGGACAGGCCCATTCCTCACAATGGGGACCATGGATCTGGGCCCCCAGAACACAGTATAAAAATGTATAACAGCAATCCAAGATGACTGTGGCTTATACTTAAATTACTTTTAGATTCTTTTTTCTTTTTAGCCCACTTTAGACCAATATCCCCTAGGGTATCAAATGCTGGTAAAACTTAAGAGGTAAAAGTGGTGTCAGAAAACATATACCTGACCCTCCACTAGAACCCACATGGTGCCAAGCAGCAGAGACTCAAGTGACAAAGGATATCACCAAGATTTTCTGCTTAGGATCAGATACTAGTGTGTACTGATCCTACATTGTTCTTCTAAGAATATCAATAAGCATAATGCTCCTTAAGAAATTATAACGTCAAGGATTGGCAAGAAGGTTCTAGGGGGATAGTATCTGCTGTCAAGCCTAATGACCTGAGTTTGATCCTTGGAAGCTGCATAGTAGAGAGAGAACCAACTTCCAGGTTGTTCTCTGACCTCCACAAGCATACCTACAAATAAACATGTAAAGGAAAAAACTTTAAAGAACTTATAAAATGATATAAAAGAAAACAACTTAGTTTCTTTTACTTTGCTATAGAAAAAAATTATTAATATTCTAATAACAAGTAAATATAAAAAAAGTTTCCTACCCAGGTATGGTGGCACATGCCCTTAATATCAGCACTCACGAGACAGAGACAGGTAGATCTCTGTAAGTCTGAGGCCAGCCTGGTCTATACAGGAAGTTCCAGGACAGTTAGGACTACATCGAGAGACCCCGTCTCAAAAAACCAAAATAAAAAAATAAGTAAGTTAAAAAAATAAATAAAAATAAGTAAATAAATAAATAACCTGAGATTACTTTTAAGAAAATTAGAAGTATAGTCTTCAAATGGAGCGGGAGGAATACCTTTTAAGGGCAGTTGGTTTTAGGTAGGACAATGTGTATATATATAGAGTAACTTAGGATAAAAATGAAAACTTGGCAACACAAAAACCAAAAATAACAAATATGCATTTACACATACACATATGTGCTTTAAACAATGCAAAGAAAGTCCTTGACAACAGCTCTTTGTGTTTATCAAATCAAGAGGATTCCAAGAGCCACCAAGGCGAGTCCCACATTCTAGCTGTAGACTTCTAGGCTTAGGAGTTTAAAAGAGTACATACTGTTCTGAAATAGGCCACTGGCTGATATGAGTAAATACACAGTAATAAAGGCAGTAAGACTTAAAGATGTCTATTGACACAGCTGTTCTGAAAGACTGACTCTTTCATAAACTGTTGCCAGACACTGCCAGCCAGGCTAATGGCCATCTACTCACTGTGTGTGTGGTCACGGCTATCTGAACCTGCTCCTCTTCAGATTCTAACTGGCAGAAGTTTTTCACTTGGAGCCAGTTGAGCTCATCCACACTGGAGGTCCATCTCCCTTGTCTGGGCAACAAACTGTAAGTAAAAGAAGGACAATGAAAGAGCGAGTCCTTACAAAACACTTTCCCTGGGCATCACTTGTCTAAACCAGCATGTTTCTCTCAAAATGACTAAAGAAAAGGGACCACATTGTACTGACTTGCTGCCACAGTATCAGCTACCATTTTAGTGTAATATCAGGCAGTAATCCACAAAGCTGGTTCTCATGGCTCTAATCCCAAGTTAAATGATCTGTGCTTGTTTTCAAGGCTAATTATTATTATTTTTGAGATAAGGTCTTATGCAGTCTAGGCTGGCCTTCTACTCACCATGTAGTCAAGACTGGTGTACAACTCCCAAGTGCTGGAATGACAGACATGCACTACTACACCTGGCTTCAAGGGACACTTGTATAAAGGAATGGTCAACTGTTGTCTGCCTACAAGGAAGCACTATGGTAGTTTTAGAAGATTATTAAAAGCGTACCCATTGGGATCTGGATTTAATTTAACAGTAAAGCAGCCGTATATATGTGTAGATCTACAGTGCAAAAAAAGTGACATATATATTTAGTCATACACATCATATGTCTGTATTTCATTGAAGAGTTGTTTTGTTTTGAGACAAGGTTTCTCTGAGTAGCCCTGGCTGTCCTGGAATTCAATCTGTAAACCAGGCTGGCTTCGAACTCGGAGATCGGCCTGCCTCTGCTGCCCAAGTGCTGGGATTAAAGGCATGCGCCATTACTGCCCAGTGAGTTTTATTTTTTATGTTAGCAACTGGCAGTAAAGTATCTTATCCTAACAAAATCTTCCTATGGGAAGAAGGAAAACATGGGCTAGCAGAAGGGCTTTTAGGGAATGTAGTAGTTTGAATGAGAATGGTCCCTATAAGTAGAAATATTTGGGAAGGATTAGGAAGTGTGGCCTTGTTAAAGGAGGTATGTAACTGGGGACAAGTTTGAGATTGTAAAAGCCCACACAGTTCCCAGTTTCTCTCTGTCTCCTTGTGGAGAAGATTGTTAAGCTCTCAGCTGCTACTTCAGGACCATGCCTGTCTGTCTGCCATGATGGTCATGGATTCTAACTCTTTGGAACCATGATCCTCAAATTAAGGATTTTCTTTTATAAGTTGCCTTGACCATGGCACCTTATTGCCCCAAACACATTTCTACTCATTATTTCAGTTATTGCATTCTGATACCCTACCTCAGAAGATAAAGTCTTAGAATGTTTTCTGAAGACTACCTTACAGTAGTGGACAACTGGGGGAGGATAATGATGGCAAAGGTGTCACCACACTTAGCACTTGCTATGTGTGACCACTTAACTCAGTCCTTCCACTCCAAGCAGGTACTAGTTATCACCTCATCTTACGGGAGAAACTGAGCAGATGGGGAGATAACTTGCCTAAGTTCAAACTGTAGGTCACACAGCAAACTGGGAAATAATCTAGGCAGCCGACTGCGTACTTGTCCTTACCACTGGATCATACCACCTCACTCACGAACAGTTGGGCAAATGATGATGCCCACATCCAAAAGGAGGAAGCCTTCAAACGAGGCTTATACAAGTCTACAAATACATGTGGGAAAAGCAGGACATAGCCATTTATCAAAAGATGATCATTAGTATGCTTAAAAAGATAAAAAATCTTCCCAACAATGATTTCAATTAGAAGAAAAGGAAAGCCACCAGACACTAACAGTGACCAAAGATGCACAGTCAACAGTGGGCCAGGATCACTGATGTTCTTACTTCATCTCCCCAGTCTGACTAAATGAAGACTGCCTTTTATAAAGAGCTCATGATTCATTCTCCTATAAATGAGGCAGAGAAAAGGGATGCCTCTCCTGAAAGATAACAGAGATAAATGGACCACAAAAGCCACAAGGCTCTGCTTCTCAGCACCTCACACTGACCACAGAAATGCACTGACATGAACATGGGAACAAGGAGGTGAGTGTTTCAGCGTTTCAAATTCAGAATTCAGGGGCATTTTTCAGGGCAACTGTCCCTTTGGGAAGGCTAGATGGCTCCCAAAAGTCATGGAGAAGACCACAAGGAAAGCCTGCATTGTCCTATAAATTTTTTTCCTTATGAGAATGGGCTTTTAGTTTTATAACACATTCAGAATTCACTTGATAGGATTTTTGTGTTATAGACAAGTAATTGAGACCATATCTACTACTCAACGCAAGTATTCCTCAATATAGTTTTTAAGAGCTAGAACTGGTACAGCCAGCACTTGGGATGTAGAGACATGTAGATCAGGAGTTAAAGGCTAGCCTCAGCTAAATACTGCACGATATCTTATCTCAAAGCAACAGGGGGATGGTGCAGCAGGAATGGATAAAGGTGTTTGTGACACAATCCTGACAAACAGCCTTTAATCCCTGCAACCTACATAAAAGGTGAAAGGAGAGACCAACACCAGAGTTGTCCTTTGACTTCTACAGGTAGATGTCTATGCATGCATGGCATGTGCACACACACAAATTATTCTTTAAAAATAATAAACAAAATACAGTATTTAAAACAATGGCTAGAATAAAGGACAATTTCATGATTAACACTAAAATAGAGCTTCTGAGTTCTACTAGGTAGTGCAGTAACTAGATACTTTGAAAGTTCTCCCCGCCAGTGGGTGGACCAACCCTGAAGCTGCCCAGGCCCAGAACCAGGGCTATGACTTGGCTTGCCCCAACATCTACCCCATCTATGATCTTCTGGAGCACAAGAAGGAGCCTGAGGACCAGACCCAAAGTTGCAGGATCTCGGCAACACAGGGCAACAACAGGATATCCAAGAGGAGTCCCAGTGAGGGCCTAGCATTAATAGTGTAATAGAAACCAGCGGCCTTGAACCAGACCAATGACTCTGCATTGAACACTTGCAAGTAAAGATGTGTGCACAAAGAGGTTTACTCACTGTGTCACATTGCAGATTCTATGATGAGATTTTTAATGTTTTTCCCTTTTTCTCTTAAATTTTGTTTTATTTTGGGGCAGAGGGTAGATGCGAAGGGATGAGAAAATGAATGGGATCAAGACACGTGATGTAAAAGACACATAGAATAAATAAAAAGTTAAAAAAAAGAAAGTAAGTACTCCCCCTTTCTCTTTTCAGTGAGTTACCTGTTATCATCAGTGTCTGAATCCTGAACCAAAATTAAGCTTCCATTTCTGAGACCCTGTTCTCTGAATGTCTTCTTCATGTCTTCCTTGGGAATAGTAGTCCAGCACTCTCCTTCTGCAGACTCCACACTGTTCGTGAGGATGACGCCTACTGGGATGGCCAAGGCTGTGAACACACTGCCCACTTCTGCATTAGCTGGAAAGACATGTGGTGACTCCACCAACTGCTCACACTTTGAGCCTTCACCACTCATTTCTAGATGAAGAATGTGTAGCAGCAGAGGCTCACAATCGGAACCAGTCTGAATCTGGACTCCACCAACCTGCAACATTAACACAAACACTAGCGAAGTTTGTTTGCCAAATTACAAAAAACACCCTACCACAGCAAAGGCCTGTTCTTGTAGCACAACCAGCATTTTCCCAACTGAAATAGTTTTTTTCACACTGTTTCTTAAGTACTGAAAGAATGACTTTGGATTTTATGCTGAAAAATTCTCTTATTCATCTTTTCTGACTTGAAGGTAGAATTTTATGAATTGTCAAATGGCGGTGATGAGCTGCTGGAAACTCAGAGGACAAGGACAGGCCACAGAGCAGCTGAGATGTTCCTCACTCCTTTCTGGGACAGCATTCATTTCTCTGTCATCTCTACCTCAGCAGTGCTGGGCACGCCCTTCCCCATCCCTACAGCTGTCACATACACCCTATAGCCTATGGTGCAGTTATTTACACAAGAAGGCCATTGTTGACTAACTTACCTCTGTAGCTAGCATGTGACATACAGTCTGGTAAAATGGAGATGCTTAATAAATTACTGTTATGTGTGTGCATTTGTATGTACAGGTGTGTGTGAACACACACGTGTTTGCACAGAGATGATGAAAATCTTGGGTGTCCTTTCTTTTTTTTTTTTTTGAGACAGGGTGTCTCACTGACCTAGATCTCACCAAGTAGGCTAAGCTGGCTGGCCAGTAGCCCCAGTAACACGCCCATCTCCACCTCCTCAGGGCTGGAATTACCAGAGCATGTCATCATACCTAGCTCTTTTACATGGGGTCAGGTACTCAAGCACTTTACCTATGGAACCATCTCCTGTGCCCTCAAAATATTTCTTTTTCTAACAACTCCCGTGAACTGGACCTCAAGAGTACTGAACAGTCCAGCAGTTTCCTTTCCTCCCGTTTCCCCTGCACCTCCTCGTGATTTCTGAGACACATATCTTAGGCTGGCCTGAAACTCACTATGTAGTTTAGGCTACCCTTCAACTTAAGCAGTTCTTCTGTCTTAGGCTCCCCTGGTGCTGGGATCACATGTGTTCATTACACCAAGTTCATTACAATAATTTTCTAATGGTTAACTGAAAGCTGAATAAAATTTCACTATAATGACTTTTTTTTTGTTTGGAATGAGACATAGTCTCATGTTGCCCAGGCTGGCTTTGAACTTTGATCTTCTTGCCTCTACTTCCTGGGTGCTGACTATCACACTTGGTTTTACGTAGTGCAGGGGACTGGGCTTGGTCCAAGGCTTTCTGTAAGTTAGGCAAGCACTCTACCAACCAGGCTATACCCCCAGCTTTTCAACGGAATTTTCAAACACCCTAAATCATCATGAATATTTCTTCAGCCATTTTTCTTACCTCTACTCCATTCCATACAAAGATATCTTCCCCATCAGCAATGTCGGCTTCACACAGTGTCAGCTCATCTCCTAGAACAGTGAGAGTCAATTCATTCTCCATGACTGCCAAATGCAGCTAAACTAAAGAGAGAGCTGCAACTTTCCAATGTCTATTTGAAAAGGCACTAATTAAGGAAAAACCATAAAAGCAGTAATTATTTCATTTTATTATTTCTAGTATTTTATATTGCTTTTACCTGGACCATTATATGGTTCTGTGAGCACAGCTGCAGGACAGGAGGGTACATAGAGATCAACAGTCAGGCCCATGCCACCTGAGATCAGGCAAAGACTCCCAACGACACCAGATCACCACCAGTCTGCTCTAGGGGATAGTTGTCACAATATCTGGCAAAGCGGAGTCCCAAATGTATGTTACTGCACTACTATTCTCATACCGTTTGTCGTTATTTCAGAGACTTAAGTGCCTTTTAAACTCTTACGAGTTGCTTTTGTCTGCTACAAAATCTGAAGCTGAGTGGGTAAAATGAAGCCAAATAAGTAAAATTTTAGTGGTTTTAAATAATTTTCTCAATCATTTGTGGTTATATATATAATATATATAAATAAATAATTATACATATATTATACAATTATACATAAATTATATAAAAATATTTTTCTCAAGTTTTAGTAGGATGGTGACCTTGCAGTCAGACTGATAAATATCACCATAGAACCTTCATCCAGCAACTGAAAGATACAGAGGCAGAGACCTGCATTGGAGCACTGGACTGAGCTCTCAAAGTCCAGTTGAAGAGTGGGAGCAGTGAGAATATGAGCAAAGAGGTCAAGACCATGATGGGCACATTCACTGAAACAGTCTATCTGACTGAGCTAATGGGAGCTCACCTCCAGTCAGACATGGAAGGAACAAGCATAGGTCCAAACTAGTCCCTCTGAATGTGGTTTGACATTTGCATGGCTGGGGCAGACTTAGGGACCACTGGCAGTGGCACCAGGATTTATCTATCTCTACTGCTTGTACTGGTTTTTTGGGAACTTATTCTCTTTGGATGAATACCTTGCTCAGCCTAGATATAGTAGGGAGGGCCTTGAACCCTCCTGAAAGCAATGTGCCTTACCCTCTCTGAGGAGTGGATGGGGGTGGGGCAGGGGTAAGTAGGGGGAATGGGAGGGGAGGGTGTGGAAACTGAGATTGATATGTATAATGAAAATAGTTTGTTCTCTTTTTTTAAAAAAATAATAAAAAATTCCATATTGAGAGGATGGACAGATTTTTTTTTTTTAAAACTGACAACATTACTCTAGTCTATGCAGTCAAAAGATGAAAGGGCTGCTGAGACGGCTCAGTGGGAAGACACTTGCTGACAGTCTGATGACCTGAGTTCCACTCTGGGATCCACATGGTGAAAACAAAGAAACCATTCCTGAAAGTTGTCCTCTGATTTCCAAAGGCTCCCGTTTGTCTCTGTCTGTCTGTCTGTCTGTCTGTCTGTCTGTCTGTCTCTGTCTCTGTCTCTCTCATGCACACACACACAGAGATAAATGCATTTTTTTTAAAAAAAATATAGGAGGCAGAGAAGGACTGACAAAGAAAATAAGTTTCCCTAAAGTGTCACATAAAATGAGTTGTTGTGTTCCTTATTGATCTTACCATCAAGGGTATGGTACACGTGAAGTCCTGCTGGCACACGCTTCGCAACACTAAGAACCATGTCTCCTTCCCAAAATTCCAATAGCTAAAGAATATTAAGAGTGGGAAAAACAATGAGCTCCAACATGTGAGTAGCGCAAGTCCTGACTCAGGAAGAAGAACAAATGAACAGTCCCATTCCTGACCAACACCAGTATTCTATAAATAAATATCATTTGAGAAATTATTTAAATCCAAAGATGTTGAGTGCATCCATTTTGGACTAAAGAATTTAGATGCAAAAGGAAAAACCCCAATAGCCATCTAGACAATCTAATTCAATGTAAAGACTGCTTTTCTTAGAAAGCAAACTGTTCAACAAGCCAGCCTAGGAATCTCTGCCCCAAAGAGCTATGGTTTTGCTTAGAAAAGCAACACTGGCTCCAGCCCACATGCATGCTCCAGGGTGCTAGAAAGGAAGGCCCTACTCTAAATTTAAAATGTCGCTTTTATTTTGGGCTGGAGTGTAGCTCAGTGGTACAGTATTTGCCTAGCTTGCATGAGAACCAGAGTTTGATTCCACCTCTCCCCCCCCACCCCAAAGCATAGGATCTGTTAAATACTAGATGGCCAGAGGTTTGCTAAGTTTCTACATCTGAGCCAGGGACTGTAGGAACTGAACAAGATTAATATCAGAACGACATTTCTATTCTAGGTTTCTTAATAACATTATAAGATATTTCTTGTAAAAAGCCAAGACATTTTGTATTAGAAGATGTTTACAAGAGTCATTTACATTGCCAATTTCCTGGTCCCTCCTTAGCAGCTTATATCTGAGGTAACAGTTTGCAGAGATGTGTGCCTGAAATACTAGACAGCAGAGAAAAGAGAGCACAATACTTAGGAGACAAGTCAGACCTTTTCTTTGAAACGCCCTCCACAGGCTCAGAGCCCCAAGTCTCTGGGCTCTAATCTGCCAGAAGTGACTCAGAAATGAACTTTACTGCAGTTCAGACATACACAGGATTCTAATGGGCCTGCAACTGAAGCAGCACGTACACTACACATAAACCAACTGAAGAAGGAAAGAAAGATAATAGTTTGCTTTTCTTAGGAGAAAAGAAAAAAGCTAATAATTTTAGTGATAGATATAAACTTTTAGAGATTTCATTTAAATTATTTTTTGGGCACCCTTGCCCTAAGTTTACATTTTCTTCTTTTTCCTCCTGTTTTCTAAGATAAGAGTCTCAATAAAAAAAAAAAAAAGAGTCTCAAACTTCTTGTGTAGTTGAGGCTGACCTTGAACTCTTGATCTTCCTGTTTGCATCTTAAAAATGTGGGGATTATAGACACATGCCACTAAGCCTTTGATCTGGCAGTAGTGTGGGGTAAGATAGTTGGGGTAAGGGACAGGACACCAGCTTGAAGAAGGTCCTAGCCCTACCATGCCAACTAGATATCTGCGCATATGCAACATTAGATGCTGTAAGGTATAATTTTTTTATTTCCACAATGAAGTTGGCTTGCCCTGGTGAGGCTGAATGCAGAGCCAAATGAAATGTTTAGGAAAGTTATCATACGTACAAATGAGGAGCATCTCCACTGTCCTGTGACTGAAACACAGGCAAAGAAATGATCTGGAGATGAATACTAGATGAAAATCCCTGTCTGGTAAATCACAACACTCAGGAGGCTGAAGCAGAAGGGTTACTTTGAGTCTGAGGCCATCATGGGCTATAGTGATACAATCTCAAAAACACAGAAACACGAGCTAAATCAAACAAAAGGATCTACTTAGGGCTTGCCTAGCATGTTCACACCAGAACAACAAATATGAGCACTAGCGGTCAAGCAACCTAACGCCAGAGAATACAAAACTAGTTATCTTCATTTGTTCAGTGGTTCTTCAGTATTAAGCTCAACATTTCCTCTTATTTCTTTTGAAAAGCAATTTTCTTCCATTTATTTCCTGAAAGTAGAGACAACTTTACTTTGTCATCTATCAGGCACAATTAGTCAACTTAAAAGCTGCTGAGAAAATACACAAAAAGGCATTTCTGAAGACTTACCAATACTAGCAATGGTGGCACAAACCTGTGATCCCAGTAATTAGGGGGCTGATATGAGAGGATTGTGGTTTCATGTCCAGCCTGGTCTTTATAGTGAGATACTATCTAAAACCAAATCAAACCAACCACTCAACCAATTGAACAAAGAACAACAACAGTAAAATCACAGGCTTCCAAGTAAGAGAAGGTTTGGTTTATCCTGCTATGCACTAGCAGATGTAGGATTTTCCTATGGAGCTTTGGAAAAGTTGTCGCTTAATAAAATGAAATGAAAACAGTCAGTTGAAATGGACCTTAATGTTTCTGTTAAGAGAAAAATAAGAATTACCTGAAATATTGACTGACGGAGATCTCCTAAAGTTTTTCTTTTATCAAAGGTTAAATCCCACACACTTTCTGTCTGAGAGATTGCAGGATGAAGAGCCCCATTGAAGAAACGGTAGTGAGGACCCAGATGGAGATGCAATTCAAAATTATTGTTTGCAGAGTCACACTCTGCCCTTTAGAGACATAAAAACATACATATATGATGTTTTTGTAATATTCTACCTCAAACCAAAAATGTTTGCCTTACCATATAAGCAAGCTCTCCATTCTACTCTGGTAACATCCTTTTCTTCTGCCAAAATGATTCATTTTGGCTTTTCAACACACAGCACACATTCAGTGGAACTGCATCATGAATTTTAAGAGATAATTGTTTTCATAGAGACTCAACACTGTTAGCCATCTCCAGTCTTGTCACTCCCATGAACAGAATACTGGATCCTACACACATGTTCAAAGGGGGATTCCTAACTTTCACTAGGCTCCCAAGGTTTTCTCAGAAGATGCTGATAGCTGTTAGAAGATCCTTCCCAGTGTTTGTTTCCAGGCTGAAATCCTGAGTGAATGGCTATTTCCTGTTCCTTTCTGCCTGCACTCAATTGACTCAAAGCCTGGCACCAAACTTGTTCTCCTATGCAGAATGATCAGTGCTGGGCTGGAAGGAGGCTGTCACCAGACTCAGGACTTCAGATGCATTCTAAGTTGGTCAACAGGAACATTAGATCTTTCCAATGGCCATACTAAGAACTTTAGTTTTAGTTTTTGCTGTTTTGTTTTTATTTCTTAAATTGCAACTGCTAACCTAGGTCACTGACACAGTTTTTTTTTCTGTATTTAACATGTTTCAATGTTAAACATGTAAACATGTAAACATGTTTTAGCTTTTATGGAGAGTTCCATTGATCTTGGTCTGTCAGTCCCTGGATCTGCTATTTTCACTCCCAGCTACAAATCCAAAATTTCTGAACACAGCTTGCTACATTATCTCCCCCTTCAATACCTAAGGGGATGACAGAAGCTTCTTTTCACTCTGCTGACACCACTGGAGAGCAAATACAGCAGCACAACAGTCTCCAGAGTCCAAGATTAGCCATGTTCTCAAATCAAGCCTTCAGTTATTTTAAATCTTTATTTTGGGTATTTTGCCTACATGTATACATGTGTGTGTATATGTATATATATATACATATACATACATATATATATACATACATATATATATATATATATAAAATGTGTGTGTGTGAGCACATATACAGACATACACACACATGCACACGAACACGCTCGGCCATGCATGTGCAGTATCTTCAGAGGCCAGAAGCACAGATCCTGTAGGACTGGAGTTACAGACAGTTGTGCACACAGCGTAGGTGTTGGGAACAAAACAAGGGTTCTCTGGAAAAGCAGCCAGTGTTCTTAACCACTAAGCCACCACTCCAGCCCAGCCATTTCAGCCCAGACTGACACTATGCCTTTTTGCAATCAACCCACCTCTAGTCTTCTGTCACTATATGTTAGTTTTTACTACTACTTAAAACTGAGGGAATAATTTGGCCAGGCTAGAACACAATTCTTGTAGTACAACTGCATGCTTGTAAATTTCTCTAGACTCCCTAGGCTCCGATCCCTTCTTAGCAATGGTTACTGTATATTATTCCTCACTCTTACATAAGGATAAATAGTATCTTTACTATAACTAGCTGATAGGTACACCTATTTTGATAAACTTCCATATTGAATGCTTATGTCCCAAACTGATAAGTATTTTCCAGAAACTCTACCCAAATACCAAATGTATTCAAACTACCTTCTCATTTGCAGTTGAATGTTGGCTGCATCCATTTCCTTCAGCAAATGACATGGAACCCTGTATCTTGGATTGGCTCGAGCTGTGAACAAAACTGTCCATTAATTTGTTTTGACTAAACAAAATAGGGTTGCTAGAGGCAGGATGAAAATCTGAGGTCAGGTGTGGTAATACACACCTGTAATCCCAGCACTGGAAAAGTTGAGGCACAAGCATCTTGAGTTGGAGGCCAACTTGGGATAAACTGAAAGATGTTCTCTCAAACAAGTATGAGGGGCTGAAGAGATGGCTCAGAAGTTAGGTGTGTTTCCTACTTTTGCACACAACTGGGGTTTGGTTCTTATCACTTCAGGCAGTTACAACTGCCTACAACTCCAGGGGTCTGATGCCCTCAGATACATGCGTGCACATGGTGTACATACATACATGCATATGTGAATGCAGCAAGACATGCACACACACAATTATGCTGGAATCCAGGAACACCATCATTGACTAATGACAGTTAAGCGAAAACAGATTTATCTCTCAATCTTAGTTTTGTCGGATGAGCAATAAAACAAAACAAAAAACCATGAGAAATATTTTTTTTTAAAGTTGATCTAGAAGAATCTCATTGTTTCAACTCTCTTTGAGCATTTTTGTTATTGTTGTTGTTTAAAGAACACCCACTATTTTTGTCCCTTTATAAATTTATCAGTTGATTACTGTAAAAACTCAGAAATTAGGAATGGAGGCAGCTCAGCAATTAAGAGCTGCTCGTAACTGGCTGCTCTTCCCAGGGACCCAGGTTTGGTTTTCAATACCCATTTGGTATCCAATAACCCTCTGTAACTCAAGTTCTAGGGGATCCAATGACCTCTTCTGGCCTCCCAGGCACACATATGGTGAATATACAAATTCCAGAAATCACTTTTTTTTTTTTTAAATAAAGTGTCCCACTACAGCCTGGGTTGGCCTGAAACTATGTAACTTGGGTTGGTCTTGAACTCACTACAATCTTCCTGCCTGAGCTTTCCAGGTGCTGGAATTATATGGATGAGCCACCATGACCGGTGTGAAAGTTATTTTCAAAGTATGTTAGGGTACTACCTGTAGTTTCACCCCAAGACATCACCCACATATACCAACATTTTTATAAAAACTGAGATGTAGTCAGCAAAGTGGTAGCTTGTGTTTTTACTTCATATTTCTACAGGCTTTTAAATATGTGATGCACAGTAGTGTACTTAGGAAGTAGCATAATTATCTAGTATTTTTCTTTATTTTGAAAAAAATATTTACTTAATGTGCATGATTTTTTTGGCTTGCGTGTATGTCTCTGTACCACCTATGTGCCTGGCGCCCTTCGAGGCCAGAAGAGGGTATGAGATTCCTTGGAACTGGAGTTGGAGACAGTTGTGAGTCATGATGTGAGGGTGTTGAGATTCAAACCAGATCCTCTGAAAAACAGTCAGTGAGCTTAACCACAGAGCCATCGCTCTAGTCCCTAACCTTTTTCTGTTAGATAGTGTAGTGATATGAATAAGAATGGCTCCCACAGACTCAGAGATTTGAATGTTTGGTCACCAGGGAATGGCATATTAGAAGGTGCGAACTTGTTAGGCTGTGTGCGTGTGGCTTTGTTGAAAAAAGTGTGTCACTGGGGTAGACTTTGAGGTTTCAAATGCTCAAGCCAGGCCCAGTGTAACTGTCTCTTCCTGCTGCCTGCCTATCAAGATGCAGAGCTCTCACTCTCCACCACCATGTCTGCTCCATGACACCATGCTATCCAACATGATAATAATGTACTAAATCTCTGCACTGTAAGCCAGTTCCAAATAAATGTTTTTCTTTATGAGAGTTGCTGTGGCCATGGTGCCTCTTCATAGCAATAATTAAGACAGATAGGGCGATTTTTAACTAGTCTTGATTATAAAGATAACGATGGCAACAAATACCTCAGAGTATTAAGTATTCACCTACTACACCTTTCTCTTGCCCACTAGGCTGCAGTTACTAGACTGACCAGTCAGACATTGAATTGTAATCCTCTTGTCTCACTTTCTGAGTAACTGGGATCACAGGAATATGTCACTAAGCTGGGATCTCTTTTTCCTTCTTTCAAAGACAAAGCCTTTCTGGCTATCAGTTGTCATGTATATTCAAGATCTAGAAAGTTAATTTTTAAAATTTCTCATGCAAATTATTAACTGTTTTGTTCTTTATAAAAAGGATCATTATCCCTATTTTCTATGAACAGCACCTTACTGGTAATCATAGCTTTGCCAATCTTAAGAAGCTCTTCTTTCCCCTCTCTCTCTCGCGCACGCTTTTTTTTTTTTTTTGTGAAACAAGGTCTTACTAAATAACCTTGACTGGCCAGAAGTTTATTATGAAATCAGGCTAGCCTTAAACTCACAGAGAGATCTGCCTGCTTCTGCCTCCCAAGTCCTGGAATTAAAGGTGTAAACTACCACATTCAGCAGCTTTTACCTTCTGAGAGAACTCTGTAGGGATCAGACAATCTTACTGATTTATTCATGGTGACAGTTTCTACTATAAATACTCTTTATTATGATGAGGTAGGGACGGCTAAACTACAACGTAGGAGTTCTCTCAGAAGGTTCAACAGAAGTTTCAAATATATTTCAACTCCTCACTAACATAACACTTTGGGGAAAGAGAGCAGACAGGCCTATAAGAAGGAAAGTAAGAAAACACGAGCACCTACTGTTCAAGGACGACACATGGCTGGTGACAGAGTCAAGCATAAAATCTGGGCAACTGCACTCAAGTTTGACATACCACAATAACAACATCCAAGAAAATTCAATTTTGAAAAATCTAACTATTAGTGAGGGGGAGGGAAATCTAAGACATTTTCTCACAAAATGAGGAAACTAAAAAAAATAAAGTATGATTTTCTGCTTAAATAAAGACATAAGTAAGGAAAACTTAAATGATAAGCTGATAGATTTTCATGTGACACAACAGACTTCTTAGGTATTAGTCTTAAAATATATAAAGATACCTAGAAAAACCATCGCTTCAAAAGGCACCACTTCAGGCAGCACTGAAAGCTTATCTGCTGGATTTACTAACAAGACAAATCAGAACACTTCTCTCCCGTACCTTCAGAGGGCCTCTGCAGCTTGGCTTTCCGATAAAACAGCATGTAGGCACTTTCTTTACCCTGGAACTGCTGTGTGATAGCTTTCTCTCTGATTGGCTGGACTTTGGAATCATTGATATCAAACCAATGGGGACAGCTGGTATTATCGCTTAACCCTGGAGGTTCTGAAGCAAGTGCATGTAGAATCTGTTCACGGCTCCTTTGGAGATCAGATGGGGCCTGGGTAAAATGGTTCCTCAAGAGACTGACTGTACTTTCATCTGTGCTGAGCAGAAATATCTGAGGATGGAGCTGTAAGAACTATTTAGAACAAACAAAAACAAAAATTAGTTTTATTAAATAAATTTTTAATAATTTTTTTTAATTAGATAAGACAACTCTGTGTGTATGTGTTTAGATGTGTTTAACTTTACCTTTCTTTTTTGCTAGCCCTGTGAGGGAGAACACTCATCTGGGTATGACAAAATCTGAGCACTCTTCCACATATGTTAACAATTCTGTTGAGGGAGAAGGGTGACAAGCCACAATGTGGAAAACACTTGAATACAATAGCGCTGTTTTAAGAAGTGCTTGAATAAAGGAGATTGGGAAGAATAAACATTTCTAAACTATTTAGAAGACATCTAATTTTACAGATCCACACTTGTCAATTCTTAGGATTGATTTGTGTGTTCTTGGAGTTCTCAGAAAACTCTTGCTCACACCTGTATGTTAAATGTTTTCAGTTAAAAAGCTTTCACAAAACAAACGAGCAACAATCAAACTGAAAAAGTCCAGAGGAAAAAAAATCATTGTCAACTACACATTAGACAGCAGATTAATATTGGGTATACAGAAAGAATAGCAAAAAGCAAACATCAAATCACCCAAACAATAAATGATCTAATGAAATGAATAGTAAGTTTTCACTAGAAAAAGCATAAATGACCAATAAAAACTTTAAAAAGTAAACAACATCCTAGTCAACAAGGAAATGCCAATGAAAACCCTTCAATTCTATCCCAGCTCAGTCAGAATGGCTATCATCAAGAAAGCAAATGACAACAAATGCTGGAGAGGATCCTGGGGAAGAGATGTAAGTAACCATTTTCAGCCACTATGGAAATAAGTATGAATGTTGCTCAAAAACAAACAAACAAACAAACAAAAAATCAAACAGAATTCCTGCATGACTCAGCTGTGCCAGCTCTGAGCATATATTGGAAGGACTCTATCACACCACAGTTACTTGCCCATCCATGTTTATTGTTGTGTCATTCACAATAGCCAAGGGAACCAGAGTAGATGTTTGTCAAAAGATGAACAGAAAACATGGCACATGTATACAATAAAATTTTATTTAGCCATAAGGAAAAAGAAGAGTCATGACTTCTGTAGGAAATGAATATAAATTGAAATCATTACATTAAGTAAACTTTGTCTTAGAAAACAGATACTTCCTCTCATAGATTTAAACATATATATCTACAGATATCTGTATATGTGTATTAATAGTGATCATGAGAATGGAGCAAGAGATTTTAAAGGCAGTGGGAAACAGAGATGGTAAAAAACACATGCAATAAAAAATGGAAGTTGGGACTAACTGGAGAAAAACCGGAAACCATTCTTGTAGGATATTTTTTTCTCACCGATACTTCTTGACTGCCAATAAAATTTACCTTGAATCAGAGGGCTGTGGAATATTCCTTTACACTGTGTGGATAAATGTCACTATGATTGGTTTAATAAAGAAGCTGACTGGTCAATAGCTGAATAGGATAAAGTTAGGCAGGAGAGCTGAATTGAGAATGATGAGAAGAAGGACAGAGTCAGAGGAGTTGCCAGCAGAGACAGAGAAGCAAGATGGGCATACTGTATTGAGAAAAGGTACTGAACCATGTGACAAGGATAGATAAGAAATATGGGTTAAGCAGGAGCTTTAGGTTACAATGAAGACTTTGAGTGGTTATTTAAGAGTGGCTGCCAGCACAGGAAAACTGTACCTACAGAGGGCAGAATCAGCAACTAGCTGAACAGAATCTGCCATAGAGGTTTTAGAGGACCCAGATAGGGGTTCACAGGAAGATATAGGGAGGGGCTCAGAGAGATTCATGGCCTTTTCAATCTGTGAAGTATGGGAAGTTAGGGTCAGTTGATCATTCTTCCACTGATTTTTGAATCTATTATGTTTTTTTCCCCGAATATCTGACTCCCGAGTTTTTATTGATATCAGAATAATTGAGATAAAATATAGCATATTAAGGAACTATTCTATTGCCACTAATATCATAAACCCTTGGTTTTATACTGACTTTTCAAAACTTTTTTTTGGTCTTTTTTATAAAAAAATAATTTATTAAACTTTATTTTATGTAGATTGGTGTGAAGGGATCAGATCCCCAGAAACTGGAGTTATAGACAGTTGTTAGCTGTCATGTGGGTGCTGGGAATTGAACCTGGGTCCTCTGGAAGAACAGCCAGTGCTCTTAGCCGCTGAGCCATCTCTCTAGTCCTGGTCTTTTTTTTTTTTAATTAAAAAAAAAAACTATCCTTTCTCATTTTACATACCAAACCCAGTTCCCACTCCCTCCCCTTCTCCTGTTCCCTCCACCTTTCCCCTCATCCCAACCCCTATCTACTCACTCCTCAGAGAGGGTAAGGCACATTGCTTTGAGGAAGGACCAAGGCCCTCCCTACTTAATCTAGGCTGAGCAAGGTATCCATCCAAAGAGAATGGGTTCCAAAAAGCCAGTACAAGCTGGTCCCACCTGACCAGTGGCCCCTCAGTCTGTTCCAGTCATACAACTGTCACCCACTTTCAGAGGGTCTAGTTTGGTCCTCTGCTGGTTCCTTCCCTTTTTCTTTGGTTTTATTTTGACTTTTAAAAATTTTTCTTAAGATATAAATATTATCTCAAAAGTTGTAAAATTATTAGATATACTTAAACTTTCTGTTGTGATATTAACGATCACATAGAGCACTAATTAATTCTAGAAATAGGCTTCATCTACTTTCCTACATGCGATTTTGGGCTTGAGTCTGAAGCAGGTAAGTTTGTGTACTCCTGATGTACTTAACAAACTGTGGTCCTTCAGTCTCTTGGAGATCTGCTGCATATGACATTTAAAATGTTTAAGCTTTCTGCCAAAGAGGTCAAAGGACAGAGAGGGACTTTTTTCTTGTTCATTTAAGGTTACTGTGCTTCCAACTGGGACAAAGGCCCCACATAGTTGTAAATCAGGGAGTTTTGCTCTCTCAAGGCTACTGTCAACAGGCTAGCTGCCAGACCTTGTGCTCTCCTGAAATAAGTAGTTGGTTCCTACCTAAAATAAAAGTCTAAAGAGCCAACTAAGTTCCAGTTCCCTTTATGGAAATAACTTGGGATTCCACCCAGGGAGTATTTGTCTACAGAGTGCTTGGTCTAGGGCATGAGCTATGAATGTAGCCCAGTGATTTTCAATGTGTATGTTAATGCAGTCTTTTGTTTCACTCCTACCATTTGGGGTCAGGGATATATTAACCAGTTGGGAATTAAACATGGGCAAATTTTCAGTACTCACTGGAAAATTCCCTCCCAATACCATCCTATGTTTCTGTGTTTTTATTATTTTCATTTACATCTTCATATTCTTTACTATATTTCTAAATTCCCACGCCTCCACTCTGGAGAAAGGTATTTTTGCTGAGGCTGGCCCCCGACAGTAGAATATTAAAAATAAACCTGGACAAACAGAAGAAACAGTGAACAATATGACTATATAAAACAACTTTCCTCCTAATTTCTTTAAAATGTCACCTAAATATTAAAAGTAAAATCAGTTTATGTAGCAGAACTGACATCACACGCAGTGGTGAGACATAAGATGGTAGCAACAGAAAAACATGGGGACTGTATTATTAGTATCTTATACTGGACAGATGCAGATTGTTCATTGATAATTAGTAATAAAAATGTATAATGAAATATAACATCAGTCACTAAAAATTAGGTAATAGTAGACTAAAATTACTTGCTTACGACAAAGGAAAGCAAGGATGGAAAAAACAAGATAAAAGAAAAATAGATAAAATAGTGACCTAGAAGATTCAAGGACAATCCTATCAATTACTACATTAAATACGAATGGAAAAACACTAAAAATAAGGAAGATGCTGACAAACTCTCATCTGACAGTAAACAGAATGGAAGTGATGAGAATCAGGAAAAAGCTGTTTTCTTAAAAAGTTTAAAAGCTTGGTAAATGTCTACCAAGACCAATGAAAAAGAACTAAACAATATGTGATATCAATACTATAAGTGGAAAGGAGACATAACTCCGGGCCTTCAAAACTTAAAAGGATAACATGCTAATTTTTCAAACAGCATCATGACAACAAGTATAACAACCATAAAAAGTTAATTTAAAACCTTATTCCAGCCCGCAAAAGGAAACTGAGACATTCCTAAGAACCTTGAGTAGCTATATTCATACCACACCGAATGCTACAATTTTAGCCACAATAAGGCCGACACTTTTCTGGGTTCTAGGGCCATGCATGTGCGGACAAGTCCTCAGGCAGAAGTGCCAAATGGCCCTGGGGATATTAATGGGCCCCTGCCTGACCCACACGCATGCATGATTGCATCATCCACGTATGACTCAGCGAAGCCCTAGTACGCATGCGTGAGTCCTGTCATCTGTGTATGATGCAGTCACATCAACCCCCTGTGCCATGCACTAGGCAGCTTTTAAAAGCTGGACACACCATCTCCCCCCTCTCTCTGCACACTGGCTTCCCCAGGTCTGTACATACCCCTTCCTAAGAGGATTTGTTGCGTGTTCCATGTTTCCTTCTCACTTGCGACAGGTAATTTCATTGGTGCCGTGAGACTTGGGAGGCTCGTCTACCCCGAGCCTCTCTCCAGGACTCGGGAACCAGAACTAGGTATTTTTTCCACAACAACCACATGTTCCATCTGCCTGAGTGCAATTTTTTACGCATACTACCGGCTTCAGTTGGTGATTTCCCCCCATTCTGGTCAGCTTAACAGTTTCTCTGAACCCGATGAATTGACAGCTGAGCTCCTGGCAATCTTCTGGTGTTCCTAGAAACAGGGGGACAGCCCCCAACCATGGCCTTGATGACTATGGTTGAGTCTTTCGCTGACATTCAGCTCTGGATTGCTTCCCTTGGCTAAAACTGTGTTTGGACGACCCGGGGTCAGTCGTCCCGTGACTGGGGGCCCAGGGTCCCTCAGATTTTTCTTTTTCCTTTTTTTTTTTTTTAAAAAAAACTTTTTCTTTTCTTTTCTTTTGAACCACTCACTGGTCAGTGGT